CCCGGTTTTCATTAGCGAAGGATATTTGTATGATGGTAGTACAATTTGACTGGTTCTAATGGTGTTTAAGACCGTTAGCAAATGTCCGATTTTAGACGCAACATATATGTTGTAGGTGACTATAAACTAAGGAAAATAGACTTTAATTAAACATTAATAAAGTGTTATTAGATTCCTTTTGACTATGGATTTGTTTTTTTGCCACACCATAGCATGTATAAAATATAAACTTGCGAAAATATTTTTTCTTTAGAAAAAGAGTCCAGGTCTTAACCTACTTTCATTTTTACAATAGTTTACTTTAATAAATACATACAAAGTGACACCAGACCAAATTAATTTGAGGGATGGCAGTAGGCTCATCCTCTGTCACGTTGAATTCTAATATGCTCGACAAAATATAGATATACCGAGTACAACGTTTACCACAACAGCAACGGCCGACATATACTTCTAATCACTATATTAGAGGTGAGCTTATATTTACTATTGATATAGATTACAGTGATGTTTTTCCAATAGACATTCCTATCTTTCTTCCATTAAAAATAGACATATCTAAAAATAAACTGGCGTTGAGGTGCAATAAATGGCTCGTATCGCAAGATGTGTTGATGTTTAGGCATTGTCCAACCGAGCGCCCATCTTATAATGCTTACCTATATGTATATCTACACAGACCATTGAGTGGCCATAGAGGACGAACAGCGCCGCTCCATTTAACATACGCGCATGCTTCAGGTGATCAAGGCTGATAAATTTATCGGCCGGCCCCGAATGGAGGAAGTATATTTCGTGTTTAAAGATACACTAAGATTTCCAATTTAGTAGATTCCTTAAATCATTCTAATAATATAATTTCATTATATTTTTGCATAATTTTCAATTATAAAAGAAAAAAAGTTGTGAAAATGTCGCACTAATCTAAATGTTTTTTTAAACATAGCAACATTAACTTTTGAAGAGTAATTAAAGGTAAAAATTTTCTTGTTCTTAATAAATAAATTTAAAAAAAGGTCACATTTTTCGTTATACCATACCGTACTGTAATCATTAAGAAATTTAAGACGTGCGTGGGATCCTGTACTTTGGCAAAAATTATTAAAATATTATAATTAACAAAGATAACTATGAGACTGTCGTGGCCTAGTAACTTACATTATATATCACAAACTAAGACCACAAGATAGAGCTTCGATCGTCAAAGATGAGTGTAAATGCAGTCACTGGAGCTGACTTTATTTATTTTAAAATAAAACATAACGCGTCTTTGTGTGCGTGTAATTCGATTAAAAATTCCCCTGATCAGATGAACTTCAATATCACAATACACTGTGTTTCATATTTTTAAAAGATGATAAGTTTCATAATTTATGAAAATATAAGTGATCTAGGCATCTAGAAATTGATTTTTAGAAATACCCATAGAAATAGCAGGGTCCGCAGGTACCATGGATAAACATGGACATTTCTAGTTCTTTATAAAATACATATTTTTAAATTGGTTTGTATCTGAGTGATAACAAAATCTCCTCAGAGGTTCGTTGCTTGATTCACTGTAGAATAAGGAAACCCAGGGGTCTGATAACCAATTAATTTATAGTGGTAAAATAGGAGGACAACCATATAGATTGTCCTCCAAATGTTTGTTGGCTGGTCTTATAACACACGTTATTCTAGTTCGAGAACCCGGCGATTAATATAATTGTATGATACATATTTATTGTATATATCGACTTTTATAAATTAACTAAATATTTCTTAACGTTCGCGCTTAAGTTTCGTGTGAATCATTTCCCGTTTTCGTTGTAATTTTAGAAAGTCTCTTAGTACCTACAATCCTACTTTATAAGGAACCATAATTTATAATAAAAAAAATGGTATTTGATCAAAATTTATACATTTATGATTTAAATGCAAAATACATATTTCACTTTGACGCAATATTTTTTGTATAATTACGGATATAACCACGTACAATGATAGAACAATGGAAACGTTTCTAATTGCATCGTATAAAAACACGATTTATAAAGTTCAAACATATTTAACAGTTTATATCTGTTACAAACCGTACTGCAAAATATTTATGGTAAAGAAATTCTGATGAAACTTCTGTTTAATGAATATTACGTTGAACAGGAGTCGAGTAATAAAAAGACGAAATATATGTAACTGACGTGAAAAACACCCATCACCGGAGAGACGGCCGCTTGTAAATTATAAACTACATTCGCCCTTTTTTAGTACAACGCATCCTGAAATAACCACTTTTCGGCACGTACTTTTTATGGTCCCTGTGTGGCCTAGAAACGGTGATAAGTTATTCTCCTAACGCCATTTAACGGACATTTCTTATTATGTTTTTTTAAATTTATTTTTGGAATGTTTCGATGTTCTGTTTTCGAGTAACAGCTGTAATGTGTTACCGCAATTCATTTTTGTATAATTGATGTGTTTAAACAAGCCTTGATGAAAATATAACGTTTCTTTTGTTGGTCAGTCTGTATCTTGAAGATCATTACTCTGTTATAATTCTAATAATAAGTTATAATTCTATAATAAAACTCCCCTCATTAAAACAGAATAGGTATAGATAATAATCTAATAACAAACATTTTCTCTTTATTTAATTACATACCTACTTATACTATTTTTAACTCACCTACCCCCATAAATCTAAAAATAAGTGTCTACAACTATCTAAAAATAAATGCTTACTCCTTTCAATATTGCTTACTCAACTATAAACACGGCCTTATCAAAGGTTTTCTTAAAAGAATGTTAAAATCCCGAGTACCTGATTTGATGGTCTTACTTAAAATACATTTTGTTATCGAAAAATTGATCACATTTTATTAGAATTTTTTTATCTTAATTTCCATAGTTGTTTGAATTTAACTACTCCTTTTCAAAAGTTTCGATATTAAAATTAAAATAATCCATTTTAATTTAAAGATCTTCGATAGAATTTCGACAAATATATTGAATAGAATCTTAAAATGACCTAACGTTTTAATTAGGTGTTGTCATAGATTCAGAATAGTACCTTTGCATCATCTTTTTACAGATGTTATAGAACTGACTATTGCTATCAACAATTATATAAAGAAAAAAAAATGTATTTACACATACATTTATTTAATCCTCTCAAAATGAATCTCAATCAATTCTAATATAATATCTGAACTATTGTAAGACCACACCACACAATAAACGAAATATAACTAGCATTACTGTCTACACGTGTGCCCATCAAACAAAAATTGCATAACTATTGTTAATAAAACCTGATATAGTTCATATATACCGCGCAAAGATTCACGCTAATGTCTCTTGATTCTCTCTACAGTTAACAGTAAAAATGATAGATGATAGATTCTCGGACTACAGTTAACAGTAAAAATGGATTGATATATACCCACCTGTCTCCCATTAGGGTAGGCAGACACAGTGGACCCTAAATGCTTCGATTTAAACAGTCCTCTTTCGCTTTCTCAAGAATCATTGATTTTTTCATACATGCTCGCCAGTTACGAGTATTTTTAATTTGGCCCTTTTCAGCACGTCCTCTATTCGGCTCTCCCGACATCTCCATCCATTCATGTTCGATATATCTCTTCCGTAAATCTTCTTTCATCCATCCTCTCCAAACAACCAAACCAAGGAACATTCCCTTTTCGATCTTTGTCTTTGCATCGTCTTTCAGTCCACACCTCTCTAACCACACTATTTCTCAATCTATCTTTTAATGTAATACCATACATACCTCTTAGAACTCTCATCTCTACAGTATTTATCCCGTTTTTATACTTCTTTTGCCATACCAACGATTCGCTTCCATACACGAGTGTTGGTTGACAAGCAAAAATGTGATCAGCTTTGCTGAACACATTTTTGCTTGTCATAACTGAGAACAATGCACCGTTAACACTATTTCCTGCTTTACCTCTCCTATTAATATCTCCCTCACACTTTCCATTCCTTATAAACAATGACCCTAAATACAGAAACTCACTTACTTGCTCCACTATTTCATCTTCTATCATTATCTAACATATATTTATTACTTCTTAAAACCTTAACGGCCTAACTAATCATCATGAAAATTAATATACATGAAGTTTTTTTGTATGCAGAAAAACAAGGCTGCTTTTAATTCCGGCTAGTTTATTTACATTTGACAAAAAATTACACTTGCAAACTGGGATAAATATATGTGAAAAATAAATTCAAATACACATACTTATTTAGAAGACGAATAATTTAAATTTATTATTATTATTATGCTTTAAATTATATAGAGTAAAACTTCCCCTTCCGTTAGCTAAAATATTGTCAATATTTTTAATCAATATCAGAACAGAAAATTCTAATATTGAATAAAAAATAGTAATAAAATAGATACAAGATTTTTTTATTCATTCACCATATAGTAACTTTTACCCGCGGTTTCATCCGTGTAACCAGGTTATGTTCACTGACCGGGATAAAAAGTAGCCTATGTTCATCTTCACTCCATATGGTACGTGAGATACGTGTATATAAAATTTCATAATGATTGGTTTAATCGTTAAGGTGTTGAGATAACAAACTCACTTTCACAATTATAGTATTAGTCAAGATTATGAATGAACACGTTTTTTAAAAAGTAGGTTTATATATAAGAGATATTGCACTCTTTCAATATGGCTGATAAAACCTGACTTAAATGAAATAATAATTATTTTATTATTTAAAATTTAATATTATTAAAGTACACTACAATTTGTAGTTTTGTTTGTTTTCCATTTCCAATTGTATAGATATAATTATTAGCAGAGAAAATAAAGGTGCAGGCATTAAATTATTTTTTTCAAATTTGTTGAAAAAATAGCATCTACTAGATAAAATATTTAAAGTATATAATATGTAAATACTTATAAGTTCGCAGAATGTTTATAAGTCCAGCTTGAACAATATGGCAATATTCAATATTAATATTTTCAAGACGTACATACCTTTAGTGTCACGGATTTGTTGCACATTCTCGTTCACTAAAGCTGCGTCAGCACATATCTATCCACTTCTATATTTTAAAATATCCTTATCAGTTCTCATAATAAAGCCTATGAACACTTGTAGTAACTATATCAGACAATATAAATAGTTTAATCGTGAAATAATATTAACTGATGACTAAGACCCAACTCTGGAAAACTGCTTTGTTATCATATGACAGGTGTTCTGATAATGTCCCATACTCCTATCATAAATCTCGAGTAAAAATTTAAAATGATCCTTATTTCAGTATTCCCTTAACTGTTCAATATACGTTCACAATATTCGCAGTATCGAAACGTGACGACGTTACTCACATTTACAATTTTCACTTTTATGTGGTTTTCATGTGGAATTTACGGTTCATTCGGTTTCCAGAGAGTGGTTGGTGTATTTGCGGGCACCCTGGAATCGACCGGCTATCCCGCCGCGCCACTGAGCGATTTCGCGAGGCTCCCGGTCGCGGTAGGCACGCGCATGCGCTGCGCTGCCGCGGTGCCCGCACCTCTGTCCACCGCCACGGATCCGGCTGTACATTGCGCGCTCGTGCAGACCACACGCATGCCTATACCGGTCCGAATAAGAGACATATCACGTCCGCATTATTATCGTCCAGGATACAAACGAGTACCAGGAACCGCAATACAGAGATCGTGATAGATGGCACAAGGATCACAAATATGACGTCACATGTTACCTTACAATTCCACAAAGATGAGGCAATTGCTCATATATATTGTGCCTTATTTAATTACCACCAATGAGACGGGCAAGTCGGCAAATAAATCTTATTTACCGAACATAGAATATAATAAGTAACATAAATATCTCATCTCAGGCGCTGACTGTTCTCTTTATAAAATACAAAGATTTTTTTTTCATTCAAAGCACTGATAAAACAACATTTTGTGGTAGTTTAAGATTTTTTTTATTTCCCCATAATTATTACACCAGTGTATATAATCATAGAAAAACTGTATTGTATTTATATACCATAATTAGAGTCCAGATATAGAGTATATATTTAATCGACCCTCGACGATTTAGTCCCAATCCTCAGACTTAAATAAAAATTACAATAGTTTTAAATGAATTGTAAATAAATTACACTGTAGATGTCGATAATTACTCGTACGAGATATTAAACGTCATGAAATTGCCAAATAAATGAACTTTTCCACATAAAGTTAATTGGTCTGGCAGCGAGGGTGACGCGAGAGGTCATGTCAAGGAGATTAGAGTTTCGGTAAGCTATTGTCAACTCGCTTATACTTTAGAATAAAATTGATTTTCATAGAAATTTTTAACATTTTAATAGTCATGTTCAAAATAAAAAATAAAAAAAACTTAACAAGCTAGCGCAATTACCTAAATATACACTACAATTAATTAATGTATCCAAACTCAAAAGACACTTCTCGCTACATATTCAATCTTATATTTTTACAATTCAAACTACTTGTTAAACTGCTATACAATTTACAAATAATTTCAACATTACAAAATTTACAAAACTAATAATTTTATATACAAAACAACTTTTTCGACACGACTCTTGAACTACAATATTATTATTTACCTAGGAAGACATCTCAGCATAATCACTATTCGCACTGCTACAAACATAATATACTTTCTGTAAACGCACCTATAATAGTCATGTCGGTACCTAGCGCAGCTCGCATCACTTGCGGCGCTATAGCATCTTTAACTCTTAGAGAGAACTCACGTCGAGCTGGAGCTGGAAGAGCACCACCGGCTGCATTTAAAATCCTCGTACGTCCGGCTGCATCTAAAGGCATTCCTTCGACACTTTTCTCTAGAACAGTGCGCACACATAGAGATCTACAGGCCTCTATCTCAGCTTCATGAATCTCCCGAGCAGCAATCTCAAAAGTCCGCCGTTTATCTACTCCACCAACAGACGACGAATTTCCTTGGACACCTTCCGCTATAGCTTTTGCTGCACCAGCTTTTAATATAGCGGGTAAAAGTAGGTCAGTTACAGCGCTTACGGATCGAGAACGCAGAAAATGCAAAACTTGTTCAGCTTCACGGGTTTCGTCGAAAAGTCTTCGTTGTCGAGCGGCCGGAACTGGTCGAGCGACGCCCCATGTCTCTGTCCAAGGATTTCCTGGCAATAGCATGCGATCTCCTAGCGCACCACCATCGTCTGACTTCCAATCGCGCGGAGAATACCACTGTACAAAATCGCACAGCTCTGCACCGGGATTTGCTGCTTTAAATGCCTCCATATCAGACAATAAGGATGCACTCATCATTCTAGCTCGAAGCTCGGAAGCCCGAGCATCATCGCCTAGTCGTACCATCAGTTCCGCGTCTTCCTCCAGTTGATCCTCGGTTTTTGGCGCGGGATCCTACATAAATAAACACATCAGTTATATACATATTTTACAAGCGTTCATAAACATCAAAAGGGACTTTTCCATATATCGTTGATTATTGATATTGCATGCGTATTTTTATTGAAAAAAATTGTTAACAAAAAGTTTTACATTTTGGAAAATGTGCATAATTTATACTTTATAAAAGTTTCCTCTATATTTATTTATTTATAGGATCACCTACATAAGATATAGCGAAACATTTTAATATAATATATTCGTATATAAATAATGTTACATACACATAAAGACTCCATCTACATATCCCAAAAACTATTTCTAATATACAATATAAAGTCATTTCTTTTCCCTTTATATCGAAGCCATAGAAAGGCGACAATCACATCACACACATACACATCAAAGAGATAGATTACTCTGAAAAAAATATTTGTATAACCTACTTAAACTAACCTGAGTACGTGGCACATAAAGAGGTGCCCCAGATTTAAGCGTAGCATCTCCGAGACGATGAAGTCTCCCCACGGGTCTATTCCACGGAAGTTGTTCATCCCCATCTTCATCTTCAGAGCAATCGAAATATTCATCATCCGAAGAGGTCCCAGTAAGGCTACCAGTGCCATCTTGTGCACGTTTAATGCAACAATTGAGAAGTTGCAATTTTTGATGTAGTAAGCAGGTGCGAGCATTAGGATTTCCCTCTGCAACTCTGTCGACAAACAATAGTTTATTTATACACAATTGTTTGCCAAAATCTAAATAATAATGAGACCTTTAATACTAAAATTACACTGTATTCAACGAAATATTACACATCACCTACGCAAAACAAAGGCACAGTCAAAAGGTAAAAAGAAACAAAGTTGTAAAAAACTCTTGAATCCTATAACATCAATGCAACACAACAGCGACATCTTACATATTAAATATTACTTATTAATTAAACAATTACCAAAATTATAATTCATTAGATAACGCACCAGTCATATAAGTATATATGAATAAACGAATGTCACGTAAAACTTACATCGCTTTAACTTTCACTTGGAAGCAATTTAGGTAGACAAATACAAAACCTCCTGAAGAAAGTAAATAAATCAAGAGAATACTCGACGACTCGCGCAATACGCGGAACGTTTTCTCTTTCGTGTATGCAAATTTCTCAGCCTCCGACGACAAACCAATTGAACTAGGCAGATCTTCACATACAGTATTAAAATAATCCACACCTGACACAAGATAGGTATATAGTAACTGAATTATTTCGTGGTTATTTGTATGCCACGACCCAGAAGCGAGAACACAGAACGCGCCAACGTTAAGAACCGTTAGCATTGAATTACAACTGTGTTGCCCCAATACGGACAGAAGCTGAGCAGCAGCATCGCTTGGAGATCCACAACTTGTAATCGGTCGGTGAACCGTTTGTTTACCGGAGCCGATGCGGCAGCAACAACTGGGTGTAGGTCACGGAGCAATGCCAATGGTGGGGAGCTACACCGGCGTCAAACAGTTCGAACTGTCGACAGCCGCGAGCGCATCCATTGAGCAGACATGGGCTTGCCTCCACCGGCTTAAGCAGAATACTGGTTCTTCAGCTAATCGAAAGTGACCTCTTTCCCACCGTTGTGACCCAATGATGACAAGCTATTGGTGAATTATAGGAAAAAATAAACGCAATTTTGTACGTGACAGTGTTAGTAGAAAGTGAACAAATTAATAAAGGATTTCCAGATTTGTAAGGATTACCGACAGTATGGTAAGTTTGTATTTATATATGCATAAATAAAATTCCTAACTGGCAACCGGTAATGCATGAAGGAAAATCTCATCGCGTACATTGACACACTTACGGCAAATAAACGCGCGCCAAGTCTACAGACCGGCACGAATAATATAAAGTTTTCTACTATTATCATATGAATATTAATTACAAAAATACATCTTTATGTATTTTTATACTTTTCTTAATAGAAATCTTTTAAGAATATTCATTGATGAAAAATAATACATAAGTAACTATCACTTTGTTATATACATAAATATTAAATATATTAATTAGACTTTGACTAGTAAATAGTAGTGGTCGCCGCTTATAGAGGAGAATACTAATACACTACTTGTGAGAATACTAATAAATTACTTGTAATATATTGAACATATTCATAAAAATCGTAATCTCTTGTAAAGAGTTGATTCTAAATCTAAAATTTCAGTTTAATAATTAAAAATGATTATCTGATAAGTCAGATTTACTTCAAATTTTGTTATTGATAATTTATAACTTAATATTACTAAATTATCAAATTTTAATTCAGAAATAAGTTCACCTCAGAATCGACTTCACTACTAGTTTTTCTTAATTATCGAAATAAACTAATTTATCGACATACACATTTGAATTATTTTGACGAAGTTGAAAAAAAACCTTTCATATCCGTAGAAAACAAAAGGCAACCTAACTAAACCGTATTATTAAGCTATTATTATGTCTCCTTAACGATTATTAGGTAGGTATGTATGTCATGTTAATGAAACTTCACACAGCATTGAAACGATGATCTCGTGTGACTACGGCATAGTCGCACTTTCTCCCGCTATTCGAACTATTTCATAAATTATTTTGAAAACTAATTATATATTTTTTTTATAAATTAAGTACACGAAATCATGTCTTAATTTACAAATGATTGGAATTAATCGCGAACGCTCAAGACCAGTGCAATACAGATTAGAGTATGTTGTCCCAGGCTTGTTTGTATGCCAAAGTTTTCTTGTATATCGCCTTAATAGTTTGTTTGTAGAGGCGGGCAAACAGACGGTGGGGCGTTCACCCTGCCGGCGAGGGTGGCTCGAAGATCAGTTCCGCACTGCCGATTAGGATACGACCTCCACGTTTAGGAACGCTCGACTTTAGTGAGACTAAACCTAATACAAATATTTGTACTCATTCTGTTGGCCAAACTTGAACAGAAATTCATAGTTAATAAAAGGTCATGTTACCTATTCTAAAACTATTAAAAAAAATACTCTTTTCTATCATTTCGCAATAACTATTCGAACACGTATATCTCCCGGACGACTTAGTAATGAATTATTCTTCTATTTCATGTAGTTTATCTATAAATACGAGTAGTTGCCAGATAAACTTTTCTCGTAGTTTATCTGGAAATATTCTGGAAACGTCCTGCCCTCCAATATTCGAAATGCATTGGAAGTATAAATTTGAAAAGTATTTAAACAAATAGAAACGACCGTCTATAATATTACGTAAATACAGCAACTTAGTAACAAATAGTCATCGTTAAACGAGCAACAGATCAACTAAAAAAATGCGATTAAAATTCCAGAATATAGACATGAATATTAAAAGGCTGATCGTGCTAGTAATCCCAACATTGCGATCTCATGCCAATAACTCACAGTTTTTATTATCATTTCATACATTACTTCAAAATGAAAAAAAAATCATATACAAGTTGTACTTTAAATACAAAATTACTGTTTGTACTGTCTGGTTATATTCGTATTATGACGATAATTTAAAAACTTATATCATTGCTATCATCTTTTCAGACTTTTTACCTTATTTTAACTCAGCACGCTATTTCTTTAATTTCAATTCTAAACTTAAAACAATCATCTCTTTGTCATACTTGTAACATTTATGTCTTCTTTCATATTTTTTTCTCTACACACAATCCCATAATATCGTCAAAAACAGAAATAATTACGGTATAGCTACAAAAAATATTAGACGAAAAAAATAGGAATAATTGTTATTTGTAACTTTATATGCCAAAATCTATAGTTATATATCAGTATATTAAAATTTATTATATTAAACACCTTTTATATTTAATAACAAACACTTATTTATTTAGACATAAACAGATGTTCAATACACTTTTTACGATGTCTAAACATGTATTGAACACCATAAATTAATTTTTTTGTAATAAAACGGTTAATGTCATGTGCAAAACTAATTGTAACCCATTGCTCTGCCCGTGTAAAATAAGATAAAAATATCATATATATTAGTTTGAAATACGATCAATTTGCATACAGAAATTTCCATATTTATGATTAGTTAAATGATAATATGTCAAGAATGACAATTACTGCCTCATAGATTGTCTGAACTGCACATTCAAGAGCAATTGACAACCATCATATGCCACTTGGTAACATGACAATCATAACCTTATGTTACCTACTTTTACAGATATCAAACTCACATTACGACGCATTCACCCCTCATACCTATGTAATATCACGTGCTTAAGTTAAACTGAGTGCAAAATTGTACGCAAAACCGTAGAAGTGCGAAAATTCAATGAGTTCATACAAAGTTAAGATAGCTTGTTATGTTTTTTATTGTAATACTAACTAGCCGGCAAACGTTATTTTACCCCCTACCGCCACTTACTGGATCCATTTTTTCTTATCATGATAATAACTCTTATCTCTCAAGTTGAACAAACTATACATTATTTACAAAATGTCATTAAAATCAATTGAACATGGAGTTTTTATGTAAGATTATAAAAAAAAATGTTTCTAAAACAAAGCTTGTATAAGAGTAAAAAGATTCATCTAAAGAACTGTTGATTCAAATTTTTGACCACAATCTATACTCGTAATAGGTTAAAATTGTCCTATGTAGATATTTAATTTCAGTTTATAGTGAAGAGACGAACAGACATTGTTGGCATTACAAAACTAAATAAATAAATTCCACTAACGTTAATATCTGAAGAAAATCCAACTTTTCCTTGAAAACCAAGACCTTCATTTTATTTTGCACGTCAATATTTATATGACCAAACACTAGATAATCCGCAGAAATATTATAATCCAATATCATAAAATATTATTCCAACTATTTTATATAAAAAAGAGAAGATAATTAACTAAATACATCGAAGATGTGACAATCTTAAAGGATAGATAACAATGTTTCACAAAAGGCTCTAATAAGGCGCCGTTATATCTTTCAACAAGTCGAACACTTTGAATGTTTCAGCCGGCATAAGCTGTTTATTACTTATTAATTTCGCAAGCCACTTGATTTGAGTTACTGCTGCGCTTCGGGACTCGATTTAATTGGCTTTTACAAGTTAAAGCTCACTTACACGTTACGCAGCCGTGTTAAGCCAGAAATAATTAATTTATAAAAATCCCCTGCCTCGCTCAATCACAATGTCACACGATTTTATTTGTTTAATAGATAAAAATGAATGGTAATCCCGTCTACGCTATGGTTTATGCTGGCTGATTACCAGTGTGAGACGATATGCAAGGATGAAGTCCAGGTTAGCCAACTTATAAAGGGCTCCTTCACCTGGTATTATCCACAATGATTTTCTGGTAATTCTATGTAGAGGACAATCTGACAAGATGTAGATATAAACTAGCAATAAAACCACTACTTATCTATTACTAAGAATCCCCCGCCACAGATTTATTTGTGGAACTGTCTCGTATTATGTTCCTTAATTGAGAGCAACTTTCGAACTGAGCTATTTACGACAGCGGAATCACTCGGGTGAATTTGTGATAGAGGGAATTACTCCGGAGTTCTCGTTTCATCGTCGACGCTCTGTAAATACGTGTTTCGAACGCTTTCATGCTCGCTTTTTACACACAATATATTACCTCCGCCTTCATTATTCTTTAAGATTTCATAAAAAGTATATTGCCTTTATATTTTTCCATAAAAACAACACCCCATTTAAAATTACCTGAGTCGTATCTATCGTATCGTATCGTATAATATCTTTATTGTTCACGAAAATCAAATTAAATATCTTTATGAAAATGAACCGATATCTTATGCAGTTATCGTCAATTCGATCACCGATTTTGCGTAAAAGAAAAACGATCATGAAAACAAAGGCTTACTTAATTACTTTCTGAACGCTTTGTGTCCTGTCAAGCGGTGGTCATCCATTACATTACGCAGAATGTCGTCGTTTTTTGTAAAAATTTCACCGGAGACGTTCGGTTGGACAAAAACCCTAAGGCAGCGAACCTGAGACAATGAGCCACAAGTAACTGTGACGATGATTAAACGTGGCATGGTCGTGGGAGAACTATTGTTTGGTTTGACTAGGAATTTTCCTGAGTTAAAAACCAAAAACGTCAACAGTATCAGTTGTAATCTTTTTTTAAAGAGTCGGATATACTCGTAAATTGAAAGATTAATGGTATTTTTACAGCAAATCTCCTCCGATGTTTTTTGCAATTTTTGTTAATTTTCAGGAAGAGAAAAACGAATTGGAAAGGCTAGGTAAAATAAAAGAATAATAATTAATTATTTTATAGATATTTTAATAGGAAAATACCCAGTCAACTTCCCGCTACTTGTAGTCATCATCATAACAATTCATTAACGTCCTTGTTGAGTTTGAGTTTCTCCCAATGGAAAGCAATTATTGTTTAAAGAATTTAAAAATTGCTTTAGTTTGTGAAAACGTAGAAAATATGGAGGGACGCCTTGTGTTACTTGAAGCCGAAAATAGAAACGTCTCTGAATTGGAGTCAACTGTATTGCAATTACAACAGGAACTAAACGATAGAGACCAAGAGATGATGGCGAATGATATTGAAATAGTGGGGATACCAGAGCGAGCTGATGAAAACCTACTGAATTTAGTAACATTAGTTTCTTCTAAAATAGGCATGTCATTCATGAACGAGGAAATTGTGGATATGTATCGTGGTGGTCCGCGTCGACTCCTAGTTAACGAGAAA